GGTTCTGCCAGGCATCTGTGGCCGCTCTGATCCTTCCCCCACGTGGTCTCACCCAAGATGGCAGCTCCTGGAGCAGTTGAGCATCTCAAATTAGAAAACAATGGATTTCTTGCTTCTGCCACAAATTCTCCAGCTGTGAGCCTTCCAACCTTCTAAGTATTCCTTTGTATGTGGTTCAGAGTTCTGGGACCATCCCCTGAGCCTGCTTGGTCGGGTATTCTGTGGTGTTGTTGGCGGAGCTCTCTGCTATACATCCACCCGATCTGCCATCTTGTTTGTTCCTCCCCACTCATCGCTGCATCTTTAAACATGCTTTTTGGCTGCTCTCTGAAGGCGGGAGAACAGTGGAGAAGATGGGACCCATCGCTTGGTCTAGGACAGGGGTGGGGAACCTTGTTTCTGCCAAAATTTATAACGTCATTCACAGGCCATACCAAATTACCAACTTGAAAATTTCGCCTGCTGTATTTGGTCAGACCCTTCGTTAACTCAGATATGACAGCACTCAACAACAACAACAGTGTGATGGCTGGAAGTGTGGTTGCCTTGGCAGGGCCAGACTAAATGATTTCTAAGGCCTCATATAGTCCGCAGTCCAGATGTTTCCCACCCCTGGTCTAGGGCATTGATGAAGAAGCTGAGAAGCAATAGTTAAGATGAAGGATAGCTCTATTTCTAACTCATTTTGTGCTCAAAGAGCCCTAGTGGAACATTGGAAGGTTGCCAGTGGAAACCCACCAGCTGCTCCAAGGGAGAAAGTTGGGGCAATCTGCTCCCTAAAGATCACAACCTTGGAAACCTTAGAAAACAGCTCAACTCCAGGGTCACAATAAGTTTAAATAGATTCGTGGGCAGTAGGATTCCTTTTGGGTTCAAGTCTGTTCATTGACCAAAAAAGCCAAGACCAGGATGGAGAATCTGAATGATTATAGCGTTGAGACAGGACCAAAGCAGAAGGCTGGATTCAGGTCTTATCTAGAAGGGAAGGTGGGTGAGATGGAGGCCACGTGAAGACCTGGAGCTGCAAGGATGGATGGTCTGGAGATGGAGGAGGTGGGGAACACGGCAGATCTCATTGTTGGGGGTCTCTCGGCAGGGTCGGGACTGGGCGTCCCCCCGCACTCGGAGCTCACCAATCCAGCCAGCAACCTGGCCACCGTGGCGATCCTGCCTGTGTGTGCTGAGGTGCCCATGGTGGCCTTTACCCTGGAGCTGCAGCATGCTCTGCAAGCCATTGGTTAGTGGGGCAAAGGGTGTGGGTGAGGGCGGAGCATCAGCCGGGGAGGCGGGGCATTGGTCCGAAGGGGCGGGTCTATGAGGCCGTAAGTCAGTCAGTGGAGGAGATACCTGGGTGGTCTGTGGGGATAGGGTAGAGCAGGGCCCGCGAGCAGCAAGTGAGGTGTTCATTTGGGAGGGGCTGTGGGCTCTTGTTGGCCTTGACTTCTACACCCTTCTCTACCCTCCAGGTCCCACACTCCTCCTTAACAGTGACATCATCCGGGCCCGTCTGGGGGCCTCAGCGCTGGATAGGTTTGTTGGGGACTGAAAGGAAGTGGGCGAGGGTAAGCAGGGCTTGGAGCTCGAATTCATTACAATGTAGGCTCAAGTTCTGGGTGAAGTCCGTTGTTGTGGCCAGCAGGGTTGTGACATGGCCTCTGGGTGACCCATCCGAATCCCAGGGTGACGCCCTCTCCTCCCCCAGCATCCAGGAGTTTCGGTTGTCTGGGTGGCTGGCCCAGCAGGAGGACGCGCACCGCATTGTGCTCTATCAAACGGATGCATCACTGACGCCCTGGACTGTTCGCTGCCTGCGCCAGGCTGACTGCATCCTCATTGTGGGGCTGGGTGACCAGGAGCCCACTCTCGGTCAGGTCCGGAAGCCCCACTCCCCCCCCCTCCCACACCCTCCGCCCTCCCTTGCCTGCACCTTGCATCTCCAATGTAGTGCTGGATCACTGGGGAGTCCCCTCCGCCAGGTAGAAGGCTGGAGAAAGGTCTGATGATCTCTGCCCCTCCTTCCATAGCTGGAACAGATGCTTGAGAACACGGCTGTGCGCGCGCTCAAGCAGCTCGTCCTGCTACACCGGGAGGAGAGCCCGGGCCCTGCACGCACCGTCGAGTGGCTCAACATGCGCAGTTGGTGCTCTGGGCACCTGCACCTACGCTGTCCGCGCCGCCTCTTCTCACGTCGCAGCCCTGCCAAACTGGTGAGGGGCGGGGTAGGGCGGGGCTTCTGCAGCTCCTGGACTACACAGGGGGTGTGGCTGAGGCGGGCAGTGGGTGGGGCTTAGAAACCAGCCACAGGGAGGGCGTGGAGGGAATGGACCATGGGTGGTCAGGCTGAGACTGGGGGTTGCTACAGCCCTACTGCCCTGCTTCTGTGCTCATGGGTTGTGGTTCCCCTTCTGTCCCAGCACGAGCTCTACGAGAAGGTGTTCTCTCGGCGCGCGGACCGCCATAGCGACTTCTCCCGCCTGGCGCGGGTGCTCACCGGAAACACCATCGCCTTGGTGCTAGGCGGAGGCGGGGCCAGGTGAGGGCAGGGGCAGGGGCAGGGGTCCCTGGGTGGGGTGGTGCTTACCTGGGGGTGGGGGGAGGCTCGACAGCTTGTTCCTTGGCCTTTCGGAGTAGGGATGGGAGAAGGGGTGCTTCTTGGGGCAGGTCATGTGGTTCACTGGGTCACTTTCCTCAGGGGCTGCTCCCACATCGGAGTGCTGAAGGCGTTAGAGGAAGCAGGTGTCCCGGTGGACCTGGTGGGTGGTACCTCCATCGGCTCCTTCATTGGGGCTCTGTATGCGGAGGAGCGCAGCGCCAGCCGCACTAAGCAACGGGCCAGGGAGTGGGCCAAGGTGCGTACGTGGGGAGGGGAGCCTGGGACTCCGCCCCAAGTGGCCCTGCTCAGGACACTTCCTGACATAACTGCGAGCTCTGCCCAGTGCCTGGGCCACATGCATCCAATTAGGGACCCATGCCACCTCCAGGACTTGCTGCCTCGTGACCCTTGTTCTCACTGACAACCTTGCTGGTGGCCCCCCGGGGATGCTTGCTTGCACCTCAGTGAGCCCTGTGTGACTCCCTTGCCCCTAGAGCATGACCTCGGTGCTAGAGCCCGTCCTGGACCTCACATACCCCGTCACCTCCATGTTCACGGGCTCAGCCTTCAACCGCAGCATCCACCGGGTCTTCCAGGATAAGCAGATAGAGGTGTGTCCCCGCCCTGCCCCACCCCCACTACCTTCGGTCCTCCCCCCTCCCCCCGGGGCCCAGCCATCCCATTTTGTCCCTGAACCCGGTAGGACCTGTGGCTGCCGTACTTCAACGTGACAACAGACATCACTGCCTCGGCCATGCGTGTCCACAAAGACGGTAGGTGTGCCCCTACCAGCTCCGGATGACTGCTGCGGCCCTGTGGAACATGGGGCGAGGGGGCGGAGCAGGGAGGGCAGCTGAGCGCCTGGGACGTTGTTAACACGCGTGACCGTCCACCTCAGCCTGATTGCTGACCACTAACCACCACCCACTAATGCCCCAGAGGCCCCAGGTATGTCCGTCCACTGGTGGGGGATCCGGGGACAAGGCAGGCACCTCACCTGCTTACACCGTCCTCGCAGGCTGCGCATGGCGCTACGTCCGGGCCAGCGCCTCCTACTGCCCCTACCTGCCCCCACTCTGCGACCCCAAGGACGGGCACCTGCTGGTGGACGGGTGCTACGTTAACAACGTGCCAGGTCAGCGAGCCCAGCGGGCTGGCCGGGCCTCTGAGCGTGGCTGAGTGTGGCTGTGCGTGTCTGTGTCTGTGTGTCCCGCCGGGCAGGCTCCTTGTGGCGATACGTGCGCGCCAGCATGACGCTCTCGGGCTACCTGCCCCCGCTGTGCGACCCGAAGGACGGGCACCTGCTCATGGACGGCGGCTATATCAACAACCTGCCAGGCAAGTGACTTCCCACCCGCAAGCCCACAGATGCACACACGTGCAGCTGGGGCAGACATACAGACAGGCGTGAGGATGCAGACTGTACACATGTAGCTCCCACATGCTAGTGCATCAGCACATACATACTCACGTGCACCGGCAGACACATGGGCGTGCTGTGGACAGGAACGTGTGCATTACACAACTCCCTCATGCCTGTGTAGTGTTGTAGATGGGTGAACACATGCCTGCATGCACAGACAGGCACACAGACACACCTGCACGTAGACACGCCTGCACAGACCTGCACTACAGCCTGGTCCATGCAGCCATAGTTGACACATTCATGTTTATATACCAGGTATCCATGTGCTCATGCGGACTTTCTCTGAGATACGTGTAGGTGGGACCCACTTAACACCTGTGCACACACAGATGCATGTGCCCAGAGGAATGCAGGCACTAGTGAGCTGGGTCATGTGTCCACACACTTACCAGGTCTGTCCATACACACCGCCCTCGCTACCTCCAATGGGCACATGTGTACACACAGGTGGGATGGGGTGTGTGCTGACTTTCCATGTGCCAGTGAGGCCTGGGCAGTGCCACATGTTAGGGTTAGGAGTAAAGTGGACATGTCACCTAGCCAGAATCAGAGAGGCACAAGTCACCACGCACACTAGCTGCACACTTCCCTCTGCCTTCTCTTAAGTCAGGAGTTGGCAAACTACAGCTCAGAGGTCAAATTCGGCTCCCGGTCTGCTTCTGTAAGTCAAGTTTTAGTGGGGTGCAACTACGCCCATTCATCTTTGGGCTGTTCTGTGCCCCAGCAGTGGAGCTGAGTGGTGTCGACAGCCCAGGTGCCCTTGTCCAGAGGAAGCTGGCCGACTCTCACCCCAGCTGCTTTGTACAGACATGTCCATGACACAGCACATGGGAAAAATGGGATGAGAAGATGGACTATTTCCATACACTCTTTGAAACCCCCTCGTCCGTGTGCAGGTGTGTTCCGGCAGGACAGGTAGACAGGTACACCTGGGTGCACAGGAAGCACACACAGAGGTCCTTGTCTAGGTGCAGGGCAGTGCATACAGGCAGACCCAGCACTCTCATGTGCACAAACACAGCCTAGACCATGGACTTGGACCCGAGCTGCACACCAGGCAGAGATAGCCACAGGTGTGTACAAACAGAGCTGTGAGAGACACACAGGCCTAACGGAGACTGGAGCATCTTCTAGGGCTGGGCCTAGTGACAGGACCCTGGGCAAGCCCCCAGAGACTCTCTGAGGGGTCCTCCTGGGGCCTGTGGACCCTGGCCACATCCCCTCCTCCCTGGACCCTCACTCCCGCTCCCTTTCTCTGCCTCCATAACTGTATCAGCTGTGTGTCAGCCAGCTCCCAGGCCCTCTGCCCTCCCGCGGTTTCTCTCCTCCCACTGCCCTGGCCCCTGCTTTGCCTTTCTCCCTCATTCTCCATCTCAGTCTCCCACATCTCTTCCCGAGTCTGTCTTCTGCTCTCTCTGCGCCTAGCCTTCCTCTCTGTGTCTGTCTACTCATATCCCAGCCTTCTTACTTCCGGCTACGTCTTCCAACCTCCTGTGTCTGACTGTTTCTCTGCTCCCTGATAGTCCCTATGTGTCTGATCCCTCCCCACCAATGACCTGACCCCACCTCCCTCGCCCCTCTGACCCTGGGACCCCTGCCCAAGAAGCTCCAGCATCTGATCCTGTTCCCTCGATGTCATCGGCATCTCCTCCCATGTCATTTGCATGACGGCATGTTATCTGCATGTTTCTTTGTGTGACCATTTGCATGATGGGTGTCTGTGGGACTGGGTGGAATTTCCTACCTCGGGCCCTGCTGGACACAGCCTGCTGACCCCCTCGACCCCACAGCGGATATTGCCCGCAGCATGGGCGCCAAGACGGTCATCGCCATTGACGTGGGCAGCCAGGATGAGACGGACCTCAGCACCTACGGGGACAGCCTGTCTGGCTGGTGGCTGCTGTGGAAACGGCTCAACCCCTGGGCGGACAAGGTCAAGGTCCCAGACATGGCTGAGATCCAGTCCCGCCTGGCCTATGTGTCCTGTGTGCGTCAGTTAGAGGTCGTCAAGTCCAGCTCCTACTGCGAGTACCTGCGTCCACCCATCGACTGCTTCAAGACCATGGACTTTGGAAAGTTCGACCAGATCTTTGTGAGTGGTTGGGCAAAGCTCTACCACTTACAGCCCGGAGCCACGTGGAGGGGCGGGGTCCCTGCGGGCTAGAACAGTGACCTGTTAGTGATGGGCCGAGGGGCCGTTGGCTGAGACTGCCACATACGTGCTATGCTGTCTTTTTGCTAAGCCGATCGAGATTTCTGGTGGCACTTCCGGGTTGGTGAGAATGAGAGCAGAAATCAGCGATGCCTGCTGCAGGTCTGGGAGAGGGACGTGGTAGTGCATGTGCCGTGTGCCACTGATCCTGAAAAACGTGTCGTAGGCCATGTCATCTGAAGTTGATTGGCCCATGCTGCCCAGAGCCCTGGATAAAACGTGTCTAAGGCCATTTTTGAGCTCACTGGGATAGCACGCCACGATTGATTAGTGATGTCTGCTCTGGGCAGGGGATATGGCTGTGTTCTACAGATGTGCTGAGTTCCTGGGTGATGTAAATAGTTAACATGCCCGGCTGCTAACCAAAAGGTTGGAAGTTTGGGTCCACCCAGCAGCACCTCAGAAGAAAGACCTGGCAGCCCTTCAAAACCCGATGGAGCACAGTCTGCTCTGATGCCCTTGGGGTCGCCGTGAATCAGCGTTGACTTGATGGCAGCTGACAACTGAGCAGATGTGCTGCATGCGTGTAGCCCTTGACATTAGTGTTTTTATGCACTCCCATTTCCGGTCACGTGGTAGCAGCTTCCCGGTACACTGCCTGGGGCTGGGTGGGAAATCACATGGTGAGATTGGTTCGCAGTGTCTGGCAGGGGTGCAGGTAGAGGCTGACTCTGAAATCCATTTTATCTCATGCCAGCTCCCCAACAGTATGCGGTGGGGGGGGGGAGGGTTCAGAGTGGGATGAGCAGAGGGGACAAAGTAGACAGAGGAAAGGTGAGATTACAGGCTTGGTCCCGCCCCATGCCCTCCTGCAGGATGTGGGCTTCCAGTATGGGAAGGCGGTATTCGGGGCCTGGAGCCGAGGCAACATCATTGAAAAGATGCTCACAGACCGCCGCTCCACAGACCTGAACGAGAGCCGCCGCACAGATGTAAGCCTGGGGTGCTCCCCTTGGGGCACTCAGACTTCAGAGATTCCCCCCAGCCCCTGCAGAAACCTCTCAGCTCCTGGAACCCCCCCCACCCCCCCAACTCAAGAAAACCCTAACCCCTGTAATCCAAACCTGCAAATCTAATCCAATTCCCGGCGACGCCTTGTATGTCCAAGTACAGCTGTGGGCTTTCCAGTGGCTGAAGGTGCCACACCTTTCTTACGCAGTGCCTCTGGGTGGGTTTGCATTGCCAACTAGTTGAATGCTGAGCTGCATGCACCATTCAGGGGCTCTTAATCCCCTCTGGGCCTCTCCACAGCCCAAATGATCCCAGACATCCCAAATCCCCCTCAACCTCTCTCAGTGAGAACCTCACGGCCCCCTGCCCCCAGGTTCTCGCCTTCCCCAGCTCCGGCTTCACTGACCTGGCAGAGATCGTGTCCCGGATCGAGCCCCCGACAAGCTACGTTTCTGATGGCTGTGCTGATGGTGAGGGGCTACAGGGACCCTAGGTGGTGGGCTGTGACGGGGTGTTGGGCCAGCCTGTACCCTTCACTGTGCCCATTCCCCGACTCCAGGAGAAGAGTCGGATTGCCTGACTGAGTATGAGGAGGATGTTGGCCCCGACTGCTCTCGGGACGAAGGGGGCTCCCCTGAGGGTGCCAGCCCCAGCACGACCTCTGAGCTGGTGAGTCCACCGCCCAGCCCCTCGACGCAGGAGTGTGCACATGTGTGATCTTGGGGGGGCGGGGCCCCTGTTGTAACTGGCCAGCCCCAGGGCTCCCATGGACACAGGTGGTGTGTCACGTGTTTGAAGACATACAGTGGCCTGCACTGGGGGCTACATGCTGTGTCATGTTATGGGATAGGAGTTTCGGTTACCATGGAAACACCACAGGCTGGGTGGGTGGCACACATGTTGAGGAGACATGAGTGACATAAGTTGAGTGGCATGTGTCACATACTGGGTGGCCTCTGTGTTGAGTGGTGCGTGTTGGGGTGACGTGTTGAGTAGGGTGTATCCAGGTCACATGCTAGGTGGCTATGTGTTGCGTGACGTGTTAAGCGAGGTATGCCGGTATCATATGCCAGGTACCCTGGGTGGTGCATGTTGGGGTGACGTGTTGAGCGGATATATCGGGATCCTGTGTCGTGTGGTGACACACATGTGGGTTCCCATTTATCCCTGCAGGAGGAGGAGAAGTCGGTGCTCCGACACCGGCGAGGACTGCCCCAGGACCCTCCCAGCTCCACCGCGGATGCCTGAGGACCTTGTGAGGGCCCTCCAGGGCTGGGCTGGGTGTGGGCCTGTGGGGTAGCACCCTTCCACTTCTCCTGCTGCTATGCCTGTGACCCCCCTCGGTCTCCCTGGCCCCCAGCCCCCAGGGCCAAACACTGGACCCACTTGCCCCTGAGGGGAGGGGAAGCATTGCACTGATGACCCCTGACCAGCGACCCCCCCCACCTCCCTCAATAAACCATTGTCTCTTGGAAGCAGCCTCTTGTCATCTTCAGATCTGGGCTCCCTTGGCTCTTACCTTCCACAGTTTCTGTGAGTTCATCCCAGTGACCAGTGTCTGCCCAGCTGGGCCCCAGGTGACTCTCCAGCACTGCACCTACCGTGCGCTCAGCCTCCTGCCACTGGCTTCAGACCACAGGGGCCATGTTGGGGTGGTCGCTGATCTCCCCAGACACCTGCTCTGGTACCCCCACTAGGTCCCCACAGCTCAGCCCTGAGCCTGCCCTACTGTGTGTCGAATTTCCGTGTTCCCCATATGTTCCTATTGTGTGCTCAGCTGCACCCAGTCCTAAAGCACCCCCCACCACACACACACACACACACACACACAGCTCAGGACCCGCCCTCAGAGGCTTCCATCACAGCACAGCCCCTACTCTGTGCCCTGCTAAGGTCACACAGCCCATCTCTCTGCACTAAGACCTCTCCCCAGTCATCACTGTCAAACCTAGCTGGAAAAATGCCTCTTCATGGGTGGCCTCAGGCAGGTGACCTGACCATCCTGAGCCTCAGTTGCTTCCCCTGCAAATTGGGGACACGGATAAGAGCAGCCTCGCCTGGTGTTACCACATACTGGACTTGCACCCCTAGAGGTCCCAGTCAGGGCTCCCACTGTGTGCCACGGGCCCTGATGGGGCTTCTTTCACGGTCCCACGACATACTGGACCCAGAGTTGGGGGTGTGGCGGAAGACAGCCTGTCATAAGACTATCCTCACGCTTGCTGCCCCTCTACCTCACTGGTTGTTGTTAAGTGCCATGGAGTCGGTTCCGACTCATAGCGATCCTGCACAGGGTTTCCGAGGCTGTAAATCTTTACCGGAGCAGAATGCCTCATCTTTCTCCCGCAGCACCACTGGTAGTTTCGAACTGCTGACCTTACAGTTCACAGCCCGATTCGTAACCACTACGCTACCAGAGCTCCTTAGACATCACCAATTGCTGGAGGAGGACTTGGTATTTGGTGAAGTAGAGGACCAAAGAGGGTGAGGGAGACCCTGGGTGAGAAATAGGCGGGCACAGTAGCCATAGAAACGGACTCTTAACAAGCCAGCAATTGAGAGGATGCCCAAGGAGCTGACCAGTTTGTTCTGTTGACCTTGAGGACCACCATGAGTCACACCAACTTGGCAGAAGGTCTCATCCTCATCCTCATCACTTCTCAGGAGTACACTGTAGATGGTCTTGAGCTTCCCAGAATTCCCAGGGAACAGTTGTCTATCATGCGCGAGAACTGGGTGTACCTCTCTTCACAGACTTCAAGCCGGTGGAATTCCATTTCCTTCTGCTGACGTGTTGTGCATTCACAAGCAAGAGGCCTAGCTTTTCTGAATCTTGGCTTCTCTATGAGTTTCCTGTGACTTGTAACAGAGGACCACAGACTTGGTGATGGAATACAACACTAATTTCTTATCGTTACAGCTCTGGAGGTTCGAAGCAGGAAGTGAGTCTTGCTGGGCTGAAATCAAGGGGTTGGCAGGACTGTGTTCTTTCGGAGGACTCCAGGAGAGAATCTCTCTGTGCCCTCTCCCGTGTGCCCACATTCCTTGGCTTGTGGCTCCACCTCACTCTGAGCCCAGCTGCCATGGTTAGATCTCCTTTTCTGGCCCGGGACTCTCCTACCTCCTTGTTTGAAGGAGCCCTGTGATGACACTGAGCCCACTCAGAGATTCCAGAATTCTCTTCCAATTTCAAGATTCTCAAGTCAGCCACGTCTGCACCTACCTGTAGCGTATCTAGTCACGAGTTTTGGAGATTAGAACGCAGGCTTCACTGGGGAGGTATTTTGCCTACACTATCTTCCTCATAGAATTGTTGGGATATGATGGGGCACGGTACACTGGCTGAGCCTATATAAGCCAGTTGCTGTCAATTCGATTCCAACTCATGACGACCCTGTGTGATCAGGATAGAACTGTGTTCCATAGTGTTTTCAGTGGCTGATTCAATGGAAGATGATCAGGTGTTTCTTCCCGAGTACCAGCTGAACCCTTGAACATTTGGGCATCCAAGGTCTCCGGGCTCACTGTAGTTGTTCAGTAAATGTTGATAGGATTAGATGAAGACAAAGTGAGGTCCCTGGGCTGTCACCTACTTTCTAGGAAGCTGAGAACCCCACTGTGAAGCTGTATGCTTTCCTGTTTCCCTTTAACTCATGTTAGCATCACCGATGACAGCAATAATGACTAATTAGTAGAAAGATTACCAAAGATGTGTTGTTGTTGTTGTGGAGTTGGTGGTGAGTTGCCTGACTGCTCTCATAGGGACCCTGTGCACAGTAGAATGAAGCACTGCCCAGTCCTGTGCCAACCTCACTATCGTTGCCACGTTTAAGCCCATTGCTGCTGCCACTCTGCCAATCCATCTCGCTGGGAATCTTCCTCCTTTTCTCCAGCCCTCCACTTTAGGAAGCATGGTGTCCTCCAGGGCAGTACTGGGCCTTCCTGATTATGTGTCCGAGGTATTGAGAGACGAAGTCCGGGTATCCTGGTTCTAAGGAGCACTCTGGCTATACTTCTTCCAGCAGAGAGAAGAGTGCATTATTTCTGAATTCTCACATCCAACAGCTCTGTAGAGAGAGTTATAGTATCCCACTTTACAGAAGACAAAACTGAGGTTCCAAAGAAGGGGTTAAGTTGCCAATCAGACCGTTGGGATCCGTAATGATTTCCTGGGCTAATTTTGAAGTCGATCATGAGGCCTATTTTCCTACTCTGTTACACACAAGCTGCCACACACAGAGAGATGGGTGGCAGTAGTGCATGGAATGAAGGCCTTGGCTGGGCATCGAACCTGGGTCTCTCCCATGGAAGGGGAGAATTCTGCAAAACCATCACTGCCCTGTGACATTCAATTACAAACGTTCTTGAGTGATGGAGCCTGGATTCTGATCTATAAGTGTACTGTTGCCCTAGGAAGTAAACGTGCTAAAGTTTATTCTTTAGAATGTACTTGATCCTCAGAGGGTCCTGTAGAGATCAAGCAGGAGTCCCTCCACCCCATCACTAGACCCTTCTCCTATGGTGCCTCCCTCTTGGCACTGGCCAACCTCTCCACCTAGAGCTCTGGCACTTTGGGGTTGGATGGAGCCACTGCCTGAACCCCAGTTTGGTTACTGTGGAGATAGATTTGTGTATCCATCAGCGTAAGGTAGATGTTATAGATTGGATTGTTTCCCAAAAAATATGAGTTGTAAAGCCTACTATGTCTGTGCTTGTAATCCCATCTGGGACTAGGGATTTCATTGTTA